CGAATGGAGCCATAGTTGAAACAAATTCCTTCCTTCGAGCAAACATTAGAACGAAGTTAGTGAAGGTTTGTTGAAACTCCAAGCCATCTTCCACAGGTGTCAGCAGAGCCAGCCTGATTCCTTCGATGCGTCTATTCGCTATCGCTGGAGCTTGTTCATTTATCTGAATCCTCTTGGGTAAGAAAGATTCGAAAGTGGCGTTGAGCCACAGTTGAAGTAGCCAGAAAGGCCCAGCGAGTAGCAAACTGGCCCTGTCCTCGATATGTTTCAGAAGAGTGGCCCCATTGCTGATCGAGTCATAAAGACTGGCCAGAATCAGTTCTGCCAAACAGATGTTTTGACGGTGATGCAGTTGGGTAGCAAGAGTGACCATCTTTTTGGTCACCTGCAGAGACTTCGAGCAAAACACAAAGCGAGTTAGCCATAAGGCTAGAAACGCTATGTGTTCGACATCTGACACTGTATCCGTCGACCTGTCATGAAAATGGTTGATGAAAGTGGTGTATGTGGGCTTGGTCTCAGAGAAGCCAATTTGGTCCTCCGACATCTCCTCCGGGTCGAAGTAATCTCCGGTTGGTCGAAGGCCAGTAATAGCTGCTACATCGAAGAGTGTGGGGGTTAGCATCCCACATGGAAGATGAAAAGTAAAATGGGAGTAGTCCCAGAACAACAGCGAAGCTATAAGCATCTCTGGGGAGTAGTTTAAGCCTGTCTTCGACAACATCACCAGGTCGAAGATTCCCATTTCCTTCCAGATTGGAGTTTGATGCTTCTCCAACTTCGTTAGCCAAGCAACATAATCGGAGGTCAGATTAGGGCAAGACCTGAAGACTCTAACCCCTCTGTTGAAGAAGCGGAGGTCGATTTTCTCACGAGTAGGGTCTTCGTTGTCTTCTGCGTCTTTCTTGGCGCATGCTACTGGCTTGAGTTTCTCGACGATTGGGAAATAGCTCTTTATCTTCAGAGCTTCAGAGATGCTTGGATTCATGGGGCCAGACATTGCGAAGATTTGGTTGGAGTATCCAACCGGGATCATCAAATGGCGCGAGTAAGCATCGCGAACGGAGATGTCAGAAGGTTCAGGAACCCTTCGTTTGCCTGTAGAGTTCACTACCGGAGCAGTGACGAAGACCTTGGGTTTAACATGTTCAGTTGGTGTTTTAGCACTAGGAGCAGTAGAAGCAGAGGCCATTGTTGAGGTTGAAGATGAACTGAAAGAGGAAGAGTTTTCTGCAAAGAGAGCAAGCTTGTGCGAAAATAAGGAAGTTTGAAGGCTAGTTTGGCGTAAAAAGTCCCACAATGGGATGTTCACTGCTATTTATAGTAGTGGGAAAAATCCCCAATAACGAGGACATTAAATGTCATTTAATGCTGCAGGAGTTAGTGGGACGCGTGGCAGCATCCTGTTGTTTTGGCCGTTTCTGCAGAAACAGAGGGATGCAGCGTGCGTCCTCATTTTTGGGATTTGTCATAATGACAAATTCTGAAATGACGTTTGGTACTGCACGCCGTACTGAAAGTGACGTCCTAGGATCAAATCAATGATGGTTTCTTGGGATTGCCAATAGTTGGTAAAAAGCAACAAAAAGTGCACAAGTTAACTTGTGACTAAGCGTGGAAAGACAGGTGTCGAATGGCGTTTCAAAGAATGCCTTTTTCTTTCAGAGTCGAAATAAGGCATTCTTGGGGGGCAATTTGTTGGCTCCTAAATTCGACACCTTTGTTTTGATTGATGTCAGCCATTAAAAGCTGAAAGATGCTTTCGACTGGCTAAGCCTGTCGGAATGCCCGTCGAAAGATGGCAAAATACTTAGAAGATTTCTTCCAAGGAAGAAGGCTGGTTGCCTTCGACGTCGAAGGAGTCTTCGTCGAAGATGTCTCTTGATGAAAGTGTTCGATGGTCCAGAGTGGAAGCAGTTTGAAATTCAAAGCTTTGGAGGGAAAACGGTTTCCAGCAGTTACTACGTGCAAACGTGCAAGGATCTGGAGTGTCGAGCATGGAGAACGTGCCAAGTGGCTTAATCTCGAAGCAGTGTAACTGCCCGACGGTTACTTGGAATGTTTTAGTATAAATAGGAGTAGACGTGTAGTTTCTCGCGTGTGTTCACTATTCCATACAAAGTCACTCATTTAGATTCAAGTACCCAGCGTGTGAGAAAGAATTGTTGAGAAATGTATGTGTGAAACACCAATTTTATCAATTAAAGTCATTTACTTTCCCAGAATTTTATTTGCTTTCTCTTTACATTTCCTGTCGAACCTTTACTTTAAAGCCTTGTTTATTTTACCAAGCCTTTCCTTTATGCAATTTACTTGAAACCTTTTATTTAAAGCCTTATCCAACTTAATCCAACTTCAAAATCAACCTATGTCCATAGGATCAATCTGATCGATCCTGCGAGTAACCAAATAAGTAACCATTTGGAAGATCAGCGGTTGTTTACCAAAACCCAAGGTAAACACTAGCTCCAACTTCCTAGGACAACGTCGCCACATGCCCAAAAGTTAGCGCCATTTGTCTGAATTGCAAAAATTGAATAGTTTTTCCTTCACTATTATAAATATCCTTTTTTACTTTCCTTCTTCTTCTTCTTCTCCATTTTCAAAACTTGCAAGCTCAAATTTTTTTCCGAAACTTTTCAACTTCAAGCTTATTAACTCCAACAATTGATTCATCTTTAAAAACCAAGAACCAGAAGAAATCTAAGGAGGTTTTTCCTCTCGATACCAAACTCAGTGCTCCCATTGTGGCTGGAAATCAAAAATATGTTCTTGAGACACCATTAAAGGAAGAAAAGCTCTGAATTTTCAAATCTCAGGTGCTTCTTACTTTTACCATTGTTGATAGTGTCCACGCTCTCATGGGTCCAAATCCTAATCCTTCTAGAGATATTGTTAGAATTAACAAAGTCTTTCCTGTGTACCACTGTACTAAACCTAAGGTTAGCGAAAAGAAACCCATAGACTTAGCCTATTTATTTCGCACCACTAGTGTCTTTCATTTTTCTCTTTGATTAATGTATAATATGTCTCCTAATTAGACAAAGTCGAAAAGGAAATGGGTCAAACCTAAAAAGACAATGAAATCTTTGATCTGATTAAGTTGTCAAGGGTTGGCCCTCCTTATTTCCAAAACATGTTGGTCGCTTCCCTCTACTTATGGGAGGGTTAGACTAATATTTTCCAATTCCCTTGTGAAATTTTCACACCTACCCTTTTTGACAGCGACAGTTATTAACCTTCGCGCAACATGTGATTTTTTTGATCCAACAGACAATGATGAGAATGCAATTAATTTCGACAAATATCATGCCAGTTTTGGGAAATATATGGAAAGTTATCACGAAAAAACCATTGAGAAAGTATCTGACACAAAGCACATTACTTTAGCTCTTTGAAAGTATCCGAGAGATTCATTGCCTTAGGTAATCAAATGCATGAGGGTTGAGATATCTGCTTGAGCCATTTAATTTTAGGTTCTCTCTATGAATCACTAGGAAAAGGTGTATTGACTTTTAACACAACGATACCCAACACCAACTACCTACTTGTTGGACCTTTCTGGCTGCTTCAACTTTGACTAAATGCCATATTGGAACATCTTTTGGTCGTCGACAAGCACGGTGATAATTAAGACACTATCAAGAACAAAAACATCGAAGGCACTCTCCTAGATTTGATGACTCCAAATGACTCGACTCTTATGTTGTGAATATCTTTTACGAAGTACTTCTTAATGTTCACGAAATGCTACAAGTTTTCATCGGCTATAACTCCCTTTGCTAAACAAAGCCATGTATCTGAGTGGTTCACCAGAGAATATCCTTCGTCTAACCCTGACCAAAAAGATGAATCCAAGGAGATTTGGGAAGTTTTCCTTACCCTAAAACTCATCATAACTAGACTTGAGGTTTCCAAAGACGGCGTGAAAATATTATGGTACCAACCCAAATTGGTGTCTCACCAATTTGGACTTTTCTAAATTTTGCCTAAGTGCTTTTTCGATCGAAAAAGTGATCTTTGCCTTTGGTCGGCTACTTTATCTGAATCTAAATATGCTAGTCACTTAGAGCGCCATAATGTCAACCATCTTAGCCTCACTCTTTTCTCTTTTCAACCATTTTTCTACTATACGAAAAAATTCGACACTTGGTGGAACGTATACCATGCTAAAGAATTCGACTTGGTTCCAACATTATCTCAATATCTTACAGATGCCTTCTCCTTTATGTAGTCACAGTTCAAAAAAGGTAGACACCAACACATAAAAGAAATCCAATCTTTCTAATGATACTTTGAAGTTGTGTACAATCACATTTGTCTTAGTTGGACCATCTATGAAGCCGTTCTTACTTTGAAAGAGAAGTTTTCAAAAAACAAAACTCCCCCGATCTAAAAATTCCTTCATATTTCACAGATAAAGATATGTATAAGTTTTGTTTCAAATTCTATCCCCCTAAATTTCCTCCTTTGCCAAACTCTGACATGGCTTTTGCATTTCGACCTCCATTTCCTTGGTAGTTCATTTGTGGGCCGGATTTAAAGATAATAAAAAACAATGTTTAAAATCGGCTTAACGAGTGGTCCTGACTAAGCATGATATTTACAACTTCAAAGGGCATTTTCATGTCGATATAAAACATGTCCAAGTTTTATCTCCAATACATGAAAGTAAGGAAAGAGAAAGTACCTTCACAATATGTTCATGTTATTCTCTTTCGATCTTATTATTTAATTTTTTGCCATGCATCTTTCTAGTAGTTGAGCACAGGAAAAGAACCATGGATGCAGATAATGATGTTTTTGTTTCTGGGCACAAAAAGGCTAAAGAGGAAGCCTTGGTGCAAGAAACTCAAGTTTGATTTCACCTCAGAGACTGCCTTTGTTTCTAACATGTATAGCTTATATATCATTCTTGTTCACTAACTTTTCCCATGTTCAGGTCAATGATGAGCCTCAAGTAACTCCTTAGAAGCAACGAAAAGGCGTCTAAATAAAAGATGTCGAAACTGAGACAACTGCTAGACATTCTTCGCCAGAAACTCCTAAGAAGAAGAAGAAATCACAGGTTGCTTGAATTTCCCCCAGACCTAAGGTAATTTCCTCTCCAAAGGTTGCTTTTACTATCAAAGAGAAGGTTGGGAAACACATTATTTTGAAGCCTAGCAACAAAGTAGCAAAAAGAGTTGTGACTGTAGCTTTTGGTAAACTTGAGATCACCAATTCTAGTCCAGACGCTGGTGGATTTCAAGTACCAATTTCTTCGACGAATCCTTTCATCGAGAAAGAAAAATTTATAATACTATTTTATGTAATTTTTATAGAAAAATATATATGAGAAAGCTCCGTCAATACAATTTTTTTATGACTACGACTACAAGTTCCCAGCAATTCACCAACAATTCTACTGTGGAAGAGGACCAACCGTCTAAAATTCAAAGTGATCCACATTCTTTAGATTTCGATCTTGATAAGTCGAATTCATCCTCTTAAGATGCCAACAGTGAAGAGCTAGAATACATCCCTGGGAGCAACCATGTTGATCAAGAAGATGAGAACAAACCTCTATCTCTTGGTGGTCATCAACATGATGATAATGTTGAAGTTAATCAAGGCAATGTGAATTCCACTAAAGATAAAACTAACTAAGATAGTTTTCCAAATAATGATTCTACTCTGGAGAATAAACCAGAGAGCCATATCTCTCTTGATACTGCGTTGACTGTTAAACCTCTACCTACAGCTGATACTATGTTGTCTCAAGAAGAATTAGCAATACCTGAGAAAACGAAACCCTCTGATTACCTAAAGATCATGATGTTTACTATTGGTACTTCAACTAACAAGTGCTCAAGCTCTTCAATAGTTTCTGGCAGAGTCTCTTCTGTCGAACCTCTTGAAGACGTGCTTCGCCAACTTAGAGCCAAACTTCTCAGTGTGGATCTATTCAACATGCTGGTGACAGATTCCATGTTTTGTTATGGGCTTAAGGGTCTACTGAAAAAGGTTTATCTTCTTACTGTTCCTCATTATATCCTTAGGTTTGTGGTGGAATTTACGCCTTTCCTCGACCAGATAATTGCTGACATTGCCAGGAAGAATGATACATTATACAAGATGCAACCTAAACAATGACTTCAATTGCAGTAGTTGGATTTGGCTAAAAAATCTAGGATTAAAGTCGAGGAGCTAGAGAAGTCCCTTCAACAAGAAGAAAAAGGATTTGAGTCTTGCATTCCAGACATTTGAAGTGGAAGCAACAGATCAAAGAGTTGCAGGCCAAAGTGAAAAAGGTTGAAGGTCATCAGGCTGAGATACACAGTACTAGTCAACAAGCATTAGATGTTGAGATTGAAGTCCAACAATTTGAAAATGTCAAGAATTTGGATGCAAAACCTGGAAGTTTCACCTTTTCCCTTTCATTAGCTGATCGTCGACTCAATGCTGCAAATGACTGATATAACAAGATCAAAGCATCTTTGCCTTTTTAGAACTTGCGTTATTGTATTTATTATTTATTTTCTCTTTAATTTATTTCCAGACAATTTGTAATTTCAAATATGCCCCCCTGTGGCATTTCAAAATTCAAGCCAAGTTCTTTAGCCTTTTTAATTCTCAAACACAAGTTTTATTCTTCATTAATCTTTATTTCCTGTAGCATATGTATATATCGTTTAAAATATCTATCATTGATTCACATGATTCTGTAAGAACAAGATTTGGTTCTGCAATATTATCTCTGAGTTTTGATGATAACAAGTGAGTATGTTTGTATGAACAATTTTGATACTCTAATGTTTGTTATTTTAGAGTGCTTAGCAAACAGGTTTTGCTTCTGATGGATGGCGTGGCCAAGACATTAGAAGAGAATTAGTTCCGCTTCTGCACTACACAAGTTCTGTTGAATAGTAGTAAGACACTCCAGAAGACTATGAAGTGTAGGCTCTGATGTTTGTCTAAAGAAACCAGTCAAAATATCTGAAGACCAAGGTTGCTACTTAAGTCCAAATGTTGAAGACTTATGTTTCTGAAGACAACGAGCTCTAAAGAAATAGTCAGAAGATTTGAAGACAAAAAATTTAACTTAAGTCTAGATGCTAAAGACTCAAGTTTCTAAAGACAGTTTGTTCCAAAGAAACAAAGTTAGAAGATCTGAAGACAATGTTTCTACTGAAGTCCAGATGCTAAAAACTTAGTTTCTAAAAATACAACCTGTTTTAAGAAGACAAAGTTAAAAGATCTGAAGACAACGTTTCTACTAAAGTCCAGATGCTGAAGACTTGTGTTTCTAGTAACAAGGTTCACAAAAGGATTCTTAAAGAATCAAATGCTAAATATTCTAAAGATAGAAGTTATGAAGATTCCAAAGACTTGAAGTTCTAAAGATCTAAGGTTCTATATAATGGGTTCTCAAGACCAAGTTCTAAATATTCTAAAGACGTAGTTCTTAAGACGCTGAAGACTTGAAGCTCTTCTGGTCCAAGGTTCTCTACAACGGGTTCTCAAGACCAAGTGCTGAAGACTCTAAAGAAGAAGTTCTTAAGACTCTAAAGACTTGAAGCTCTTCTGATCCAAGGTTCTCTACAACAGGTTCTCACGACCAAGTGCTGAAGACGCAGTTCTGAAGACTCTGAAGACTTGAAGTTCTGAAGACCTTATGTTATGTTCCCACTTCTAAGCTCATACTCGCAGAAGCTTCTGAAGTGCAGAAGGAAATAATATAATGTTAACATGGTAAAATAGTACACAGTACAAAAAGCCTTATTCCACTACCTCCCCACTAGCTTGAATTGTGAAAGAGAAAAGGATGTAGCAGTACTATTTGTAAAGACTCTTTTTCAAATAGCCAACGACTCTATTTTGCTTGGCTATATAAGAAAAGAATCGTATGTTTAAAATTTTATTGGTGTTAAATGTTAAAATGAAAGCTGTCATTATTGGAACACAACCAAAAAACTATCAACCACTATAGTAACAACAAGAATAGTTGTTATCAAAATGATTCTTCAATCATGTTGATAATGATTATAATGAAATCATTGATTCACAATATGCTTAATTTCATATGCTGCATAAAGCTTGCTAAGCCGTAGAAGATAATAAAGATGATCATGAAAGCTCCAGTTACAAATCCACAACACAAATGTTATGCTCTAAAGTGATCATAGAAGAAACTAGAACAAGGGCTGCTGTCCAGAATGTTGAGGTGAATCAAGATGAAGAAGTTCTTCTCTTTACTACATTAATATCAACAAATCTTCCAGAAGCTTATGAAGAAGAAGACTTCAACAATTCAAGTGCTTTTGGATGTTATCTGAGAAGAAGCTACTTGAAGAAAATAAAACCACACATCAAACTACAATACAATGTAAGATTTTTAGTGTGTATTAGGATCTTCTGATGTGTGCTTAAATTTTGTTTATATCCAGCTTGTGTAGAAGCATATTATTGGAAACAAATGTAAATCAAACTGTTGTTTGATGATACCTTGAGAGGCTGAGTGAAGGTCTGTGCTCAAGAAGATAGTGACTGAAGGTCATTATGAAATCCTGGTAGTGGATTCTATTGGGTCAATGGTAGTCATATCTCAAAGGGGACTGAGTGAAGGTCAGCCTTGTGAGATCACTAATGGATGTCATTGGAAGGAAATCATGGTAGGAGATTCTGAGGGATCAGATTCTATTGGTTCAATGAACGTTATATCAAGTTTGGATCCTTGAATGCGTCATTGGATGTTAGTCACCAGCAGTTGCCCCGTGCAATTGTAATTAGATTGGTTATAGTGGATTAAGTCCTTGAGTTCAAAGCGAAATCACCTTGGAAGAGTGGACTGGACTAGGTTGGGGGTTTCTCAAGTGAACCAGGATATATCATGTGTTCTTTACTTTTTCTTATGCCTAATAATGTATGTTTTCATAACTTAATTAGAAGCATCGCTTATAAACAATATCCATAAGCGTTGTTTAACAAACAATGCTTAGAAGAGAAAGTTTTTCAAGAAAAGAAAACTCAATTCAAAACCCCCTTCTTGTGTTTTCTTCACACCTTCAAATTCGACCTTCAAGGGTTAATTATTCGACCTCATAATCATTATTAGTAAATGCTTGTAAAATTCGAAAAGGTCTTTCCTAATTTGGGGACCATTTACCCAGGGTTTGATCCTTCTTATCCATAGGAAAGATAACATTACACACTAAGTCCCCTGGGATAAAGGTTTTTGATTTAACCTTTTTATTGTATGCTATGGCCACTCGCTCTTTCTATCAAATTAAAACATCGAAAGCGGTTAATGTCTCTTTGTTTAAGTCAGCTAACTTATCAAACATCACCCCCATTAATATTCAGTGAATTTTAGACCGCCTTTAAACTCTAACGGATGGAAAATGTATCTCCAAAGGAATTACTGTGTCGTGCCCATAAGTCAGTCGAAAAGGTGGGGAGTTACTAGACTCTTTAGGGCAATTTTGACATGCCCATAATACTTAGCTTAAAGTTTTGTGCCATTTTTTTGGTTTTTTACCAATATGTGTTTTAATCAACCCGATTATAATTTCATTGGACGCTTTGACTTGGCCATTATATTGGGCATAATGAGGTGTTGAGATTGATAACTTGAACCCCATTTCTGAAGTAAACTCTATAATTTTCTCCTTGTGAAAACTATCTCTTGATCAGTAGTGATAATATCAGGTATTTGAACCTATGTATAATATGATTCTGAATGAACCATATCACTTCTTGGTCAATATTAGGTAAAGCAATAACTTCTATCCATTTGGTGAAGTAATCGATTCCAACCAATATGTATCAATGTCCTTTTGATGATGAAGGCTTAATTTATCCTATTATATCTAATGCCCATTCCCTAAAAGCCATGGTTTAACAATATAGTGAAGCTCACTGCCATGAACATGTCGGGTACCTGGATGCTTTTGGCATTCCTGACATCCTTCGATGAAATCTATGCAATCTTTCAACATACTCAGCCAATAAACTCACAATCGAAACAATAACCACCTCATTTTTTTTGCATGCTTAATGGGAACCATGTGATGCTCTGTATGCCTCAGAAGCTGCTAAGTACAATTTCCTTTCTCTAAGGCACCTAAGAAGGATTCCCTTAGGATTTTTCTTAAATAGATCATTCCCCATAATCATGTAACTTAGGGCTTTGTACTTTACTTTTCAATTTGGGTTGCCCAAATATTCGAATATGGGTTTTCGCCAATCATTAACTAACATTATGTAAATTGAAAAAATTTCTCTGACTTCATAATCTTCAAAATATCTATAATTTATTAAGTCTGGAGTGACTTCTAATCCATCTAATCCCCCCCCCCCCCCAGTTTTGACATTGACGTCGAGATTAGCTTGTGTCAAACTTCAACTAATTCCTCTAATTTCTCTTAAGAAATTTTATAACCTGAAGTAATCTGAGCCAAATCACTAGCCTCTTGATTCTCCAGTTGAGGTACATGGCTTATCGAAACATTTTCAAAATGTTTCAATGGAGAGGTAGTTGTGACGAAATACATCATTAAATTGTCTTTGATGCACTTATATTCTCTATTTACCTGTCGCACTACTAGTTCAGAATCCCCTTTCACTTTGACGTATTTTGCCCCAAATCTAATAGTATATAAAGTCCTTTTATTAGGGTTTCTTATTCAGCCCCGTTGTTAGAAAATTCTCCTTCGATCCTTAAAATTCTGGCTCACACAATATCAGAAGTTAAGATTGATGTCTCAACAACACACAATATCACGAAAGATGTTATAACACCTGTTGACAGAAAAATAAACTTTCTAAAATAGAAAGATTGTGTAGTAAAGTAAATTGCAGAAACTTAAAGAACACAATCAATTGTTTACCTAGTTCGGTGCAACTAACCTACTTTGGGGGCTACCAAGCCAAGAAGGAAATCCACTATCAGTATTATCAATTCTAAGCTAAATAGTCCCAGTTGACACTTCTCACTTAATCCCTACCCAGTGCAACTTCTACCTAGGCACCTCCTAGATATGAGAACTCCTATCACTTCCAATCACCATAGTGATATCAAACAATCCCAGTCCCAGGGGATATCTCAAAAAGACCAAAAAGAAGAACACTTTTCTAAAACAAAAATACTTAGT